TTAAATTTTTACCCAAATTTTGGGTTATTTCCCCCATTTATTAAATTTTTACCCAAATTTTGGATTATTTCCGCCATTTATTTAAATTTTGCCCAAAATTTGTGTTTTTTGCCCCGTTTCAGGCCTGGAGCCGCCCGGGCCGGATTCGGGGCCGGGTTCGTTTCGGGCGCGGCTGCGGCGGACCCAGGTTGGGGCAAATTCCGGGGATTTTGGGCAATTTCCACATTCGGGGGAATTTGGGGCAATTTTGGGGGATTTTGGGCTGAATTTGGGTTTTTTTGGGGAAATTTGGGCGGAATTTGGGTTTTTTTGGGGAAATTCGAGGGGAATTTGAGGGGACTTGAAGTTTTTTTGGGGGATTTTGTGGGAATTTGGGACATTTGGGATTTTTGGGGGGAATTTGGGGCATTTTGGGGAGATTTTCGGGCGTTTTGGGCTGAATTTGGTTTTTTTGGGGAATTTGGGGCATTTTTAGGGGATTTTGGGGGGATTTGGGGCTTTTTGGGGGGATTTTGGGGAATTCTGGTGGGATTTTGGGGGAATTTCAGGCATTTTGGGTTTTTTGGGGGGAGAATTTGGGACATTTTGGGGAAAATTGGAGGGAATTTGGGATTTTGGGCTGAATTGGGTTTCTTGGGGGGAAATTTTGGGGGATTTGGGGTGGATTTGGGGATTCTGGGGGAAAATTTGGGTGATTTTGGGGTAATTTGGGGATTTTGGGGGAAATTTGGGATTTTGGGAATTTTGGGCTGAATTTCGAGGGTTTGGGGACATTTTGGCCGTTTCTGGGCGGAATTTCGCGGGAATTTTTGGGAATTTTTGGGAATTTTGGGTCTCTGACGGATTTTGGGGTCGGGCCGAGCAGTTTTGGGGGTCCCTGGGGTGGATTTTGGGTGGAATTGGGAGGATTTTGGGTGATTTTGGCCGTTTCTGGGCGGATTTTCATGGGGATTTTTGGGAATTTTGGGGGAAATTTTGGGAATTTTGGGGGAATTTTTGGGAATTTCGGGTTCCTGACAGATTTTGGGGTTCCCTCCCAGCACGGGCTCCTGGCCCAGCAGTTTTGGGGGTCCCTGGGTGGAATTTTGGGTGATTTTGGTGGATTTTGGCCGTTCCTGGGCGGATTTTGGCCGTTTCTGGCCGGATTTTCATGGGGATTTTTGGGAATTTTGGGGGAATTTTTGGGAATTT